TGGCTATGTAAAGTAAAGAGAATAGGGGTTTCTAAAAGTAAATGGGAAGCTCCAAACTGTCAATCTGTCTTCAACCAGCAGCAACTCCTCTTTTTGGGTATTTTGTTCAGTCCCCTCTTTATTGAACCCTCATCATTTTCAAACCCCCATACTAGTCAATTGAATCCATAATAATACAAGAATCTCTTGTCTTTTTTGATAACATTTTGCTTCCTTTAATTACTGAGAAAAATATTTAATTTCCTTCGTGCAAAAAAACAGGGGGAAGGAAAAGAAAAGAAAGCAAAAGGGCAGCAGTGTTCTTCAATTTATCGAATAATATGTAACTTAATGGAAGAGATGATCCTCAAAAGAATATGATTTATGTAACCTATATATCCGAAATAGTAGAGATAAAAGGTTTTGCTATTGTTATTAATTAACAAAACAAAAGAAACCATTCAGTTCTAAGGAAGACTCTTGTCAAATTTTTATTTTTATTTTATTTTCTTATATATAATTTGGTATCAGGTTGTTATCGTATGGATATAAACAGTGTATCTAATCATAGTTATATAATACGGATTAACACCCTTTTTTCTTTACATAAGAACATATATCAAAAGCATAATAAAACATAAACGCAACAAGAAAACAAGAGAAAATTGAATACCTCTTCTAGCATTAACATAAGCCTAGCCTTTCTCTTCTGAAGCTCAACAAGATCCAAAGAACACAGAGAGGAAGAAGAAGAAGGCCCTCCTTCTTTCCATTGATCCTTCTTCTTCTTGGTCCCTTCTTCAAGACTACTATTAATCCCTCCAACGCTGCAAAACTCGTTTAAAAGCTCCCGAGCTGGAATCAAATACTTCAATCTCCTCAGTATAAATGGTGATGTCTGCTGCTGAGAGGACGATCGAAACAGAAGTCTTTCATCATCCACGAATTGGCTGGTTTGTTCTTGATGAGAACTTGTCATGGGGTTTGTTAGAGAAAGAGAAAGGCCTTGATTGGATTGAAGGGAGAAGCCATCGGCATGCCACTGATCGGGGTTAGGGTTAGGGTTGGAGTTTGCAGGGTGGAAGCCGAAGAGGTCTCCGCTGGGCTGCTCAAAGCCCTGCATGATCATCTGGTTATTTGCTGACGAGAACTCCATCTAAACTGAATTCAGAATCTAGAGGGGAAACGAAGAAGGGGAAAAGAACATCTTCTTTATATGCAGATAAACAATAACATGTTTGATAGGCTGGAGTTCGGATTGGTAGGAATCAGGAGATGCAAATTTAAGTGGGATTCTTTTTTTTTGCCTTCACTTTCCTTTTCTTTGCTTCCACCCTCTACTTTAATTTTTTCAGATGGGTTTCTGTTTGCTTTCTGTAATTTGCTCGGATGTGTAGAGGACAGGAGACTTGAATTGAGGTGGAGAGAGAGAGAGAGAGAGAGGGAGAGAGAGAGAGAGAGAGAGAGAGATGGAAAATATTCCTACAAGAAGGAAGGGGGGCTACTAAAGATGAACGTGGTCCTCCATTTCCAACTAATCCTTATTAAAAGCTTGTTTAATGGAGGCAAAGGGGTCATGGGACCACCTTCTCTTTCTCTATCTAGAAGAAGAAAATAATAATAATACTATTCATTTTTTAAATATTTTTCTTTGTTATATGACGAAAATTTTGCCAAGAATATTACCTCCTAACTAAAAATTACTAACTCAAACTTAAGTCAACAATATTGACTTAATACTTTTGTTTGTGATTAGGGTACCGATAGTGATCATAGAGTTTTGATTAAAAAATTTTGCATTTGAAGATTGAGTAACAAAGTAGAAAAGTAAAACAGTAGACAAATAAAATTGATGATTTTCAGCTACTGGTAATATTATTGTTATAATGTGAAAAATATTGCAATCTTAGCCTTACCTGATATTTCCCTCAAAACAAACTTCAGAAGTTATTATTATTATTATTTTCTTTATAACTAGAACAGTAGACAAATAAAATTGATGATTTTCAGCTACTGGTAATATTATTGTTATAATGTGAAAAATATTGCAATCTTAGCCTTACCTGATATTTCCCTCAAAACAAACTTCAGAAGTTATTATTATTATTATTTTCTTTATAACTAG